TACCTAAGTTTACTATTACTTTTACCTTTTTTTTACATCGCGTTCTGTAATTTTTTCGTAGTGTAAAAAATCTTAAAAAATCGATAGACGATAGACCTAATTATAAACTCAAATTACTGACGTGAGAAACATAGCTTCTTTATTGGAAGACTCACCAGAAAGCTTCTTTGTTTTTCTCACTATATAAATCGAACCTATTATTATTTTTTTCAAATATCGTACTCTAGAAAGTTTGGACCAAATTTTGAAGAAAAAAAACAACATATTTTTGAGTAATAACAAAAGTTGTTTTTTCATAAATTTATAAGAATAACTTATCTTTGAAAGTATTTTTAAAATGTTGGTCATACACAAATTGTTGCACTAATATTAACATAAATCCTTTCAGATTAGTTAGGTTGCTATTATCTACTATATTTTTGAAATTTCTCATACATTATAATATAAAGAAATTTTGATTCCTTGCTTTGTATTTTTTAAAATTATAGGCTGAAAAATCATTAATATTTTGTGGATTTTACAAGGAGCCCAAATTTAACTTGGGCCAAAAATAGAAAATTGACCATTGTTGGGCTTTAAACATTGAGAGGTGAAAAACCATAAAAGTGAGAAATCTTAAAAGTTCCAAAATCAACCATACAAAAATAGGGAAACTAAGCAAAAACCTCATAAAAACAAAATAATTACAAATATATACCTCTTTATATTCATACTCCGCTAAATAATTGCAATATATACCACCTCCTCCCGCTCCAACTGATTTCGATTAACGAATACTAAATCAGTATCATATATTGTATTGATATTATTAAGATCGATAATTACGTTGTTAAGCGAAATTACAAACCTTAACGAATGGGGGCGTATGGGCTTAGGATGTGTATTTCTTGAATTACTTTGAATTTGAGTATGAACATGTAAATATTTTGAGTTTTTGGCGCATTTAAATATCATATACAAACCTTTGACTTTGACATGACATTTAGTATGACTTTTGAGGTGCAGAATTTCATAAAAATGACTTTTGAGGTGCAGAATTTCTTTTTTAATCAAAAGAAAAAAAAATGAAACTGCTCCTTCTTAATCAGAATTCTCGAATTTAAACTCTGCATAACACAACTTTGACCAAAATGTATTTGAATTCTTATTCTGATGATCGATTCAACTTCTGATCAAAAATAAAGTCGCTTCAATTAAAGTGTTATTGTTGTGTTGGTAAGGACATATGAAAGAAAAGTAAAAATAGATAAAATGCTAACCTATTAGTACATGTTATCATACATTATGAAACAATCTACTATTACAAAAACTATCATTCAATCATAGGATATGCTTGTAAAGAATTTTTACACTATCAAGTCGAGCTTGAATTTTTATTGAAGAAACGTAAATGTAATCTATTCCATCTCTCGAGCCTCGATGAAAATCCTCTTTTAACACCATATAAATGTTTCTGAATACTAGTATACTCAGTATGATAATCCCAGCAAAAGAGATGTTATATAATCAACCAACTCATTGTAATAGTTGAAAAAAAGAGTGGTTTCTTTACAAAATCTAGGAGGAGGATGAACCTGTTGTTTGTGAAGAATCAACACTTAATGATGACAATCCAACAGTATCAGGGCTTTTGAGTTGATCAAGTTGTTTGTTACCACGACGAAGTAAGTACTCGATATAAATGAAATTCTTACGATCAACTTGCTTGGAGTTTTTGCGGAACTCAGTGGATACAACTGACTCGATTTGCCTCCTTTCTTCAGCAGGCTTGGAGCGGGCTGCTCTTAAGAATCCTCTATATAGAGCAAGTGCTTGCTTCTGCATACCAGATAGCCGCTTTGGTCCACTGGAAGCTCCCATTGCATCTTCAGGACGAGCAGGGACAGATACCCGATTAAACACTTGCGGATTCCTACAAAAAAACTCAAGTTATACTACTACAACAATAACTGGATCCATAGATACAGAGTCTGGCAAAAGCTCTAGATCCGCCCCCTACTTTGCTACTGTTTTGTCAATCTGCTATGAGCTATATACTGGAAAAAAGAGATTGTAAAACTAATTACAAGGCAGTCGTTATTTTCCTTTCTATCCTTCTTTGATAGTGAGGACTATCGAGAACAATCTATCTTCACACAAAGGTAGGTGTAATGTCTACGTACAAGGTACCCTCACCAGGACTCACTTGTGGAATTACACCCGGACATGTTCTTGTGGTTGCAGTAGTTTATTCAAAGAACAACAAAAGAAAACCACGATTTGAATAACTAGTCCTTAGAATCTGAACACAACTATATTATACCAAGTTTAGAAGGTGTCTGACCTAATTCCTACAGGTAAAACCGAACAACGACCACTGTTGAAGCTCTACCTCCTCTGGATATCAGGAAGGACAGTTATTCTAATTCTAGAACTGAGAACCTCGCGCGTAGAATGGGCACAACCTTGTGTTTGTGAACACACTGTTCTGGTGATCCAACAAGAAAACAAGAGGCCACATGACGAAATTAGCTTCATCTTTTTGTATCATTGGAAAACATCAGATTCTCTTTCCCTATTTCTCTATATTCATCATCAAAACAAAATATCTCCTACCTTCTTTATATAAAAAACTGATATTTAGTTGTATGAATCTCTTCCAGGAAATTATTCATGTTATATAATACTTCAACACATTGCTGGACCACCGAGGACGGACATGTTTAATTATAGCAAAATATATGAACCGGAAAGATAAAATCAATTTATTAACAAAGTAATTATATCGAATACATGGCAGACCTCTCTTATGCCTCTGTAGCCATGCCAACTATGATATCGCACACATGTGGATTTAGGATTTGAAGTTTATGGTCTGGTTCATATTCATGAAGACAACAGCAACAATATCATGTTCTGTAGTGCCACAAGTAGGTCTGAGGACGATAAAATGAACACAGACATTTCCAATGACTCGGTATTATCTGATTTAAGCGTAGGTAAAGTGTTTACTTGTCCGTTGGGTGAGACCTCTTCTACTCCTTTAGCTGATTAAGAACCGGATGAGAATCCTCTCAAATCCTCGAATGAGAACTTCCCTTAAGGAAGGAAGGAGTCTAGGGACGAAGTCGCAAGGATAGTTCCATTTCACTTTACTCCTATCTTTGTGAGATCGAGAGACTGTTTTTGATAGACCCTGGCTCAGAAGAGGATTTTCCGAAGCAGGAAAATTACGATAGCACAATTAGCTGATAGCATCGAACTAAAACTACTACTAGAAGGGGAGGGGATGAGGCTAGCTTCCTACCTCTCCCACACAACAACACTCGACTACTTACTAACTATCGGCTCTGATAATCAATTTCCAAACCTTCCTATTTACGAATCTTAGAAAAATTACTGATTACATAAATTTATTTGTTATAATCTAGATCTGGTTCAGGATATGTACTGCATCCAGTCAATCAAATTCTAGCTAGCTTTCCCCCTACATTTTGAATCAGAATTTGAAAATTTTATCTTCAAATACTTGTTTCATCGTGAAATTAGATCAGATTTTCAACAGTTTTAGGGAATAATTACACTTCCATTCACAAAATCCCAAAAATTATACGTTCAAATATAACATCAAGTTCCAAAAAATCACAATATCGAAAACACAAAATTTCAAATTTCAACTTCAAAATGTATGGCTAAACGGAAAAAATGGCATACCTTTGTGTATTGCGCCGTCGTTGAGGTAGAAATTCCTTCTCAGGCCGAACTGAAAGAAAACAGAAAATTCGAGGCGTTATGGGGAAGATGAAGAAAATTAACAAAAATGGTCCCTTATTTTTAGTAGTATGTTATAATTAGCCCATTTAGAGTCACTTAAAATAATTTTGATCCTTCAACTTATTAAAACTGAAGATTTTTTTTTAATCTTCGTCAGATATTGACCGAACTTATAAATAGATCCCTACACTTGTTAGTTTTTTCCTTCAGGTACCTCAACGACGCCATTTTCCTATTAAAATTGAATCACCCGTATTTTGTTCCTTTTAAACACTATTGACTGATTTTGATCGGTTTTTCTATTGCAAATATCTTCAATTGTGTTAGTATTGTAATGATTTTGATCGAAGGAATGAAAACAAATTGTGTGTTAGTCTCATTTGTTTTCTAATTTGTTGAAATGAATTGAAGTAAAACACAATTATTGTCGAACAATTTTCCTATCTCTTGGATTAATGAGTTCGGAAGAACATATTTATCCTCTATCAATACCCCTCACATCTGATTCCACATCTATTTTGTTCCTTTTAAACACTATTGGCTGATTTTGTTCGATTTTTCTATTGCAAATATCATCAATTGTGTTTGTATTGTAATGATTTGGATTGAAGGAATGAAGACAAATTGTGTGTTAGTCTCATTTGTTTTCTAATTTGTGGAAATGAATTGAAGGAAAACATAATTATTGTCCAGTTTTCCTATCTATTGGACTAATGAGTTCGGAAGAACAAATGTTTTATCTATCAATACCCCTCACATCTGATTCCACATATATTTTGTTCCTTTTAAACATTATTAGCTGATTTTGATCGGTTTTTCTATTGCAAATATCATCAATTGTGTTTGTATTGTAATGACTTGATCGAAGGAAAATGAATTGAAGTAAAACACAATTGTTGTCGAACAGTTTTACTATCAATTGGACTAATGAGTTGGGAAGAACATATGTATCCTCTATCAATACCCCTCACATCTGATTCCACATCAACAAACGGTGTTTTAAAAAAAAATTATGAATGATTCAATGATAAATTTATTACATCTTATACACTATAACCAAAAAAAATTCATCAATATTAGTTAATTCTCAACTAATTTTGGAACTTGAGGTATAATTGATAATGTATATAGTATTGATATAAAACATATGATAAATGTAGTGTTTTATATTATAACTTGGAGAAGAAAAAAAACATAAGTAACTATATTATGCTAATTCTATAAGATTAATTTTACTTAATTAAAAACTAATTACAATTACTAATTCCTACAAAATTTGCACTATCACTCATCTTGGCCACAACTTCCCACAACCGTTGGATCTCAGCGTAAACATCATCGGACGGTAGCTGATATCGACAACATGGACACGTGTTCCTTTTTTTCAACCAAGGCAATATACATATCCAATGAAATGTATGATGACATGGCAATTTACAAACATCTCTTCCTTCTTTCATCTCTTCTTTACATATAACACATTCCTTCCTCCCGTCATTGTCGTCGTTGCTCGCTTCTACTGATGGTAGTGCTACTATTGTCGCTATCGATGTTGCCACCTCCTTCCGATCTTTTCCTCCAATACCATCACCTGCATTAGAAGTGGATTCAAGATTTAATATGTATATCTAAAGTTCTGAGTTATTTGAAACTATGAGGTTTAATTTAGGGAAAATAACCAAGTACCCCCTCAACCTATGCCCGAAATCCCAGAGACACACTTATACTATACTAAGGTCCTATTACCTCCCTGAACTTATTTTATATGTAATTTTCTACCCCTTTTTATCCTACGTGGCACTAGTTCAAAAGAAAAAGTCAACCATCGTTGGGCCCACAAGATAGTGCCACGTAAGCTAAAAAGGAGTAAAAAATTATTAATAAAATAAGTTCAGAGGGTAATAGGACCTTAGTATAGTATAAGTGTGTCTCTGAGATTTCGGGCATAGTTTGAGGGGGTACTTGGACATTATCCCTTTAATTTATAATATAATTATTAGTTAATACCATTAAATTAAATCAAGACTTTGGACCATATTTTCCAACCAGATAACGAGCAATCATTCATCAGTAAATAGTAAATACTAATGTAAAGTAATTAAATTGGTCCTAGTTACTCTTCAGAGCAAAGTGGAAGGAAAAGGATTCTCGAACATGAAAAAGGATGCAATGAATTTGAAAGAATTGGATGAGAAGTCGTATGAAGTGAAAATCTCATGTAGAGTTTTGCGGAGTAGTAGTAAGGTGACTTACTTGTCAACTCTTTCACTATCAACCGAAGAAAATCAAACTCTACTTTATGTTAAATTGCCAAAGTACAATTAACCTATGAATTTGAATCATTGGTTATATATATATATATATATATATATATATATATATATATATCTAGTATTGACCATAATTTACATGAACCCCAAAAAAATGAGTACTAATTATGTCTTATGAGAATCAGACTCGTGTCTTCGACATAAAATAAAACCAATGACAACTTAACCATTGGATGAATAGGACCAAAAAGCTATACTTCATATATCTCATTTTCGAGAATAGAAATAGTTCGTTTTGGTTCTACACACAATTCAATCAAGATTATTATTTTACACTATCAAGTATCATGTTATCTATCCACCCAAAAAATATACCTACAAGCAAGCTTTCTTATTTGTAATGTTGAAAATAAGACAGATCAATAATCACCTCTCGATTACAATGTAACAGATTAAAATGATCCGATAATGTAAAAATACCCGACGAATTCAATAGAATCCATTTTTTCATTAAAGAAACATGTATATGCCACTATACATAATATACCTGCATGAATCATGGCCTTGACAAAGTTCTTGCACTTTGCTAGCAAATCAATAAACTTCATTATGATTTCTCTGTTGGAACAACTAATGCTAGAGAATTTTAGTGCATCTTTAGCTATGTATTGACAAATAACAACGCGCCACCTGTTAGGATAAAAATAAATAGATAAAGAATCACTATCGTTAAAGAGATATTATAGAATGACAAAAGATCTATAGGTTTTTATAACCAATAACAATTTTTATTGTTTTAAAAAATGATTAAACATATATATATACTACAAACTATCTAACACGTACCTTGATGGAGGTAGATCGAGTGCTTCGGGATCATGTTGACGTAGTTCACATAGAAGGAGGAGGAGGAGAACCGCGTCTAAATCGCGGTGTTTCATAGAGGTGGTTGATGGTGGTGGCATGATTGTATCATTATGCATGAAATGAGTGAAAATTGCTAGTTTAGACAAAAGGTGTTTGGCTATGAGGAGGGACTTGTTGTGTAGAGAGAGAGAGTGAAGGTGGTGTAAGGTGAGAGAAAATAGCATAGGAGAGGAGAGGAGAGAGAAAATACGGCAGTGATGGCGGTGGTGGAGGGAGGAGAAGTAAAGTGTTAGATCTGAAAGTTGATGAGAAGTGAAGGTGGAAAGTGTAGACATGAGTATGGTTTCTAAGGGAATTTGATCTAATTTTTCCATTATGGATGGGAGATCATGTGCTTTGTTTGGTGGGAAAGTTTTGGGAGTTTTTGGGATGTGTGGGATTTATAGGGACTCAAATTGCTTGGACAAATCACATAGGATTGTTATTATAGATCTATGTGAAAATATGTATATGATTTTTTCTGTCGAAATTTATGTGGTATAGTTTGATTATGTGTGGAGATTAAAAAAGAAATGAGTATTTGACCACAAAATTTCATCAGATTTTGAAAATCTATCTTCATCACAAAACAATTCCACCACCACCACAACCCCCCAAAGAAAACACAAGTCTATATACAACGTCAAAAACTCAAATATTCATGTAAATTATGGTCAAACTAGAGCGAAGACTTTGTGAAATTATTGTAAAAATTCAAGTATTCTTGTACCAAGTTTAAACTTCAAAATATATGATCGAATTAGAGCGAAGACTTCTGAAGTTGAAAAAACTCAAATTTTCATGTCAAAGTTTCAACTTCAGAATCTATGATCAAACTAAAACGGAGACTTCTCAAAATTATATTTCAAAACAAAGCTTAGATATTTATGTGGTCATAAACGATAAAATGAGAATATAATTGTTTATAAATATGAAAAAGAAATTTCCTTTTAGGACAAGGAGTAAACTTATTGATATTGTGGCAAACAACACCCAAAAAAGGAGATTAAATAAATTGTTAAACAAAGCTAGCAATGATGGTTAGTCAATTAACAAAAGTTGTTCTTCTAAAACTTTTAGCTAAAGCAAAGAGTTCTATAGAAAAGGAAAAAGTAAAGGCAAAAGAAAAAGAGGAACATGGATTGTAACCTATAGGGTGCAATCACTTTTAGACTAAAATAGAGTAAACACAGCCATGTGGGCTTTCACACAATCAATTGAAGATCCCAAGTATCAGTACTAGTTTTCTAGTTCTTTTTTTGGGGCGGGGAGGTAAAATCTCATCTGACCAAGTCTTGGTGGACATAGTTATCTGGTACAGTCGTACTTGTACTAGTGGGAGGTAGCTGGTACACCATGGATTAGTCGAGGTGCACACAAGTTGAACCAGACAGGTTAACAAGAAAGTAATAATGAAAGATGCATTATTAAGTAAAGATGTGGTTTTGGAAAAGCCTAGGGAGATGAGTTAGGTAGAGTAGAATGGAAGGGAATGACTGGGAATATTGGCCTTTGTCCAGAAGCATGTGTCCATTTTATACAACTACAATAATTCCTTTCTTTTCATTATCTCTTGTTTAACAACATGGTGAAAAACAACAAGCATAAGAGCAAAAATATCAATTTGGCCCATTCATGGAAAAATATGTACACCTTTTGGCCCTACAAACAAAGTTGTAATAATTTAGTTAGGTTGGAAGTTATTCCCCACTGTAGCTTGCACTTATCAAGGGCTCTTGTCACTTACCCTTTTCATCTCTCACAGCTGCTTTTTGGGCTTTGTGCATCTTCTTCTGAAAGAGAATGGTAAATACTACTTGTGCAACATTCCCTGCATTAAAAGCTGAGATCTTTATACTTGTTAGGTTGCATGTAGACAGCGCTTTAGGATCACGAACTATCTGATGCATCAGTCACTTGGATGAATGATTGTAATTGTTGAGATGGGTGTGTCGATGCAGCAACTGCAATGAAGAATTTCCAAATGTGAGATTCTGAAGGATAATCAACTTTCAGATATTCGAGTAGTATAAACAAAGGTCAAGCATCTTGGTAATTTAAACAATATAAGATAAGTCGAATCAAATAAATAAGCACTTTGATTGTATCTTGAACATGTAAAAACGCCATATGAGGGAAGAAACATAGGTGGTAACTACCTCTCCCCTACTTCCCAACGGAGAAAATGGAAGAACATTCAACTAGCATTATAACAGATTTTCCATTAACTAACATTACTTGTGATCATACTAAAGGAATAGTCTCACAGAAAGGTAGTAGATGAAGCTCCTGCTTCAAAAATGTCCCCTATTAGCCTAACAGTTGTAAGATCACATATTTCTAGCGGAACATAGAAAAATCATCACAGAAATTGAAGTCCATGCTAGTTTACACTGGTTTTTGTATGGGATACTTCCGTTAAAGAAATCAGAGGACACACATGTACGAGCTGAAAGTATCAAAGCCCACAAGAAAAGGTAGTTACTACTCAATATGTATACTGTATAGTACATTATTGCTACCAGCATACCAGACTATCTACTGCTAGGCCTCCAAAAAGGCCTTCCAGAAGCTGGTGATCCTCTCTCCAAAGTATTTCATCAACTGAAAAACAAATACTTTTCCCAGGGGATCATAAAGTGTTTACACCGAAATACTCTCTGGTTTCGGTTTGTCCTTTTGAACGTGTCTCTTTGTTTACCAGTTAGACATCTAAACCACATTTGAATTATTTCTTGAGCACTTTTACCGCTTGAATGTTGCGTCTTGAGTTACCACAGAGGCACAGAATGACTTCAGGCTATCATTACAGGAAGAGTATTATGCTTGCTAAATGACTGTCTACTTCATCACGATAAGACAAGGCATTCTTCTGAATAATGACACAAGAGAGTTGATGGCAACCCTGTAGTCTTGCTTGCATGGCCTAGAAAACTACTTAGCCGGCAACCTCTTGCTCATCGCAGCAGATTCGTCACATGGTTTCCTCCTTAAATTCATCCATAATCACATAACCGTCATCCCTCATCGAACCAAGCAATCTTTCCAGTACCCCATAAACCTCTCCAGACTTCTCATTTGATTCATCTGTTGCTACAAAGCTTTTTAAGCCTTGACATGTTTCCATCCAACTACTACCAGTAATCTTCTTCAATCCAAGAATTTTCATGTTCTTCCTAAGCTCCTGAGCTTCTTCCCATCTACCAGCTTTTGAATATAAATTTGCCATGATGGTATAGTTTCCAGTATTTTCAGGCTCTATTTCAAACAAATGACTACATGCAAATCTACCAATATCAACGTCACCAAATACTGAAGCTCCATTAAGTAGTGCACCCCAAACCCTTGCACTTGGTTCGATTGGCATCTTTCTGATGAAATCAACTGCTTCAGATAGCTTTCCTGCTCGACTTAGAACCCCCACCATGCAAGCATAATGTTCATCCGAAGGCTGAATTCCATATTTCTCCAACAACTCAAAAATTCTCCAAGCTTCATCAATCAGTCCTGAATGGGCACAGGCTGCCAATACAGCAGTAAATGTAACAGAATCTGGCCTTATGCAATGACTCAGCATCACATTAAATAGATCAAGTGCAGCCTTGGATTCTCCATGGTTAGCATACGCTGAGATAATTGCCGTCCAAATAATGACACTCCGATCGTTCGTGTGATCAAAAACTCGCCTTGCTGATTGTATAAACCCCAGTTTTGCATAGGTATCAATAACTCCAGTAGCGACATAGATATTTTGATTACAATCACTCTTTATGGCATAGGCATGCACTTCTTTTCCTCCTTTTGCAAATGATAAATCGGAAATTCCCGGAAGAATACTCGAGAGAGTCACGGCATTAGGCTGATCACCTGATAACTGCATCTTTCGAACGAACTCTAAAGCTTGCTCGTACAAATTATTCTGTACTAGACCTGTTATCACAGCATTCCAAGTACTCAGACACGGTTTATCAATTTCTTGAAAAAAATTAACAGCTTGATCAACAAATCCATAAATCATGTAGCCTGAAATCATTGCACCATAAGTTATCTCATCCGGCCCATCCATCTCTTCGAAAAGCTTTCTTGCGTAGTCCAAGCTACCACATTTTGAATACAGTGCAACAATCGAGTTATAAACTGCAATGTCAAGTTCAATCCCGTTTTCTATAACATACCGGTGAACTTCCATTCCTAACATAAGATCATTCGACTGTGCACAAGCTTGTAGAACACTCACCACCGTAACCCCACCAGGTCTAAACTTTTCTAAATGCAGCATTTCTCTATATAATCCTTTGCATTCCTCATAAAACCCACATTGAAAATAACCCGATATCATCGAATTCCACGACACTACATCCCTTTCAGGAACTTCATCAAACACATTTTTCGCCAATACCAAATCACCCGTTTTCGAGTAAGAATCAATCAAACCATTCAATACATACACATCTGAATCAAACCCATTTTTTAAAACATAACAATGAATCATCTTAGCCAAAACAGAGTCCCCCAACACCCCAGAAACAGCTTTTAACACACAAGTCACTGTAAAATTATCAGGCTTCACATGGGGTGTCTCAAAATTCTCAGATAAAAACAAAGAAAACAACTTTAGAGTTTCTACATGGTAATTCTTAGAAGAGTAACCAATTAGAAGGGCATTCCAAGAAAATGTATTTCTCTCAGGTATTTCATCAAACACATGGTGTGCTTCTTTCAAATGTTCATTTCTTGAGTAGAAATTGATGAGTTTTGAAGCAAGGAAGTTGCTTGGGATCGTTGAAGAAAGAACAAGACGAGCATGGAGCTGTTTGCCTTGACGAATCAAGCAATGTTCTTTGCATAATTGTAAGAGATAACCATACAATGTGTAGTCAATATTGGTATAACTTTTGAGTCTGTGGAGGATGAAGGCTTTGCCTAGCATGACATGGCTGGTAAGTCGAGTTTTGAATAAATTATTTATATATTACTCCATTTGTCTCGTGTTATAAACTATTGAATTCTGTCGAACTCGTATAGCAAGTCGTAAATAACCAGACACGACAACTCACAAATCATACTATATTGATTAACTATTTATATACCATTTTTAATTATTGGATTATGTCGAACTTGTCTAATTGGTCCTGAGAACTCGATATAAGAGTTGTGTATCGATAGGTTCGATTTTAAAGTTAATCTGTTCGATTTGTTGGTTTATAGTCATGCTAAACCGTTAAGTTATCGACTCATTGATTATCCATTTATCGATTATTGAATTAACTGTTAAGATGTGACACAAAAATATGACAAACTAAATAAATCAAACACATAAGTTCATAGATTGCATTTTGTTCGAAAACAACGCTAACACATTGTAGAATAATCGAGAGTTTGAGATTGTCAAAATAAAAATATGAAATTAAATTTTAAGTCAAGAACTTTATATGCCAAATGGTATAAATATGGTTAATTAATTACTATCGGGTTATCCGTCTCAAGCCGTCGAAAACTGACAATTCCATAATAAAAAAATTAAAATCGTTGTCAAAATCGTTAAACCAATAGTAACCTTTTGATAAATTCATAATTTTTTTTTATATTGGGGTTATTAACTTCGATTCGATTTTGAATAGAGTTATACTTTGACTAGACCGATTTCAACCTTTTTCTTTTCCCTTGTCCTACCTCGTTTAGTCATTATTTCATTTATTATGTGTGTCGACTTAACTTATTTCATTTTATTCATTATACATTATTTATTATTTCGTCTATGATACAATTTTCTTATGATTTGAGTCATTAAAAAAAAGAAAGAAAAAAAAAACTTGAAAACCAAGACATACAAATATATCCTCGAACTCTAAAAAATGGTATGGTATGCTAATACTTCTCATTATAATTTTTGAGACATTGATTTTCTTGTCGTTTAAATATTCGAGCATATATGACCTTTCCTCTAACGAAAGACTAAATAGAGACACGTGACACAATCTTATGCGTTGATTCGATATTTAATAAATGTCGAGTTGGTGGATAAGATTATGATACGCATATGTCCGTCAGTATAAATAATATATATGCTCTAGTTTATGGACGAAAGATGTACCAATATCCCAAAAGTATGACACAGGATATATATATATTATTTACGATAATTCGGAGTATATTTATCATTTTTCCCGTGAATTTATGATATACTTAGCATATTTTTCATATTGAAGTATTCAATATCTGGTCGAGCTACAAACATATACTACCTCCGTCAATTTTTGATTGTAATAATTTCTTCTTTAGAGTCAAATTAAAAAAAAGTTTCACTAACATTTTTACGATATACTTTTCATCATATTGATATACAAAAATTTATAATATCGTATATTACTTTACATATAGAATGGGCCAGTTTTTCAAATTCAAATCACCAGCTCAAATGCCTCATAACCCATTGGGACCTAGACACATTTTGGCCCGCCAATTTCAAATGACGCCGGAGTAGCCGTATCTGGTTCGCCGTCGATCTCTTTTCCCGGCGACATCTCATTGTAAGTTATTTCATTTCTCTCTCTAGATTCCATGCTCGTAAAAAGTTTGTATCAGTTTCCTGCTCACACACCGTTAAATGCTATTTTACTAGAAACTACGAACTATGAATTGAGCTGAATTCGTATATGCTTAAGAGTCACATAATGAGTTCAGAAATTGTTAAACATTGCGTGAAATTTACAAATTTTAAGCAGATTTTTCTGTTTACATTTGTTCGAATTGCTGTTCACTTTAAAACATGCAAATTGACTTGTGTGGTTCATATATTTCATTTTGAATTTGCTATTGCAGATATAATAATACTGGAATGAAGATTCAAGTAAGTAGGAGTGGATATAGAGGATTCCGATTAGTTTTGGATTGTCGCGTAGTTGAATGATTGATTGATTGTGAGAATCTTTTCACAATGATAAAAAGGTTAGGATCATTCCGGTGCTATGTCAATCATAGGATACCGTCTTGTTTCAGGAATGAACAGTCAAGTAATGATCATATAATCTTGTTGTGTAAGCAAAAATTGTTTAAACAAGCTTTAGAGTCATTTGAGTTGTTAGAAAGGAACACGACTTATAATTTGTATCCAAGCACGTATGCTCAGTTAGTTTCTGCGTGCTCATCTCTTAGATCCCTACCGTATGCAAGAAGAGTTCATACTCATATTTTAGCATCAAATTATCAGCCAGACATGATTTTTCAAAATCATTTGTTGAATATGTATGGGAAGTGTGGGTCGTTGAAGGAGGCTCGTAAGGTGTTTGATGAAATGCTTGAACGAAATTTGGTTTCTTGGACTTCGATAATTGCTGGGTACTCACAGAATGGTCAGGAGAATGAAGCATTAGATCTTTACTTTCAAATGCGACAGTTTGGTCTTATACCTGACCAGTTCACATATGGAAGTGTAATCAAAACTTGCTCAAATATGAAACAGGTAGAGTTAGGGAAGCAGTTGCATGGCCATGTCATTAAATCGGAACATGGTTCCCACCTTATTGCTCAGAATGCATTGATTGCGATGTACACAAAGTTTAATCAAATTGATGAGGCATTGTCAGTGTTCTCCCGTATTAATTCAAAGGATTTGATTTCGTGGAGCTCAATGATTGCTGGATTTTCACAGCTTGGTTATGAATCAGAAGCTCTGTCCTGCTTCAGGGAGATGCTTAGTCAGGGCATTTACAAACTGAACGAATTCATTTTTGGAAGCATTTTTAATGTCTGTAGAAGTCTTGCACAAGCAGAATATGGAAGACAAGTACATGGTTTAAGTATAAAATTTGGGCTTAGTTTTGACGCTTTTGCTGGTTGCGCTGTTACTGACATGTATGCTAGATGTGGATGGTTGCATTCTGCAAGAACTGCATTCTACCAGATAGGAAATCCTGATCTTGCGTCCTGGAATGCTCTGATTGCGGGTTTTGCATACGGAGGTGACCGTGATGAAGCTGTATCTCTCTTTTCTCAGATGAGAACTTTGAGGTTGACCCCAGATGATGTCACAATTCGTTCTTTACTTTGTGCCTTTGTAAGTCCATGTGCTCTTTTTCTAGGAAAGCAAGTGCACTGCTATGTTATTAAGAGTGGCTTTGATTTAGAGATTTCCATCTCTAATACATTACTTTCAATGTATGCCAACTGTTCAGATCTTCCGGATGCACATAAAATTTTCAATGAGATAAAAAACAAAGCAGATTTAGTCTCGTGGAATGCCATTCTTACAGCTTTTCTACAACAGCGAGATTCTGGAGAGGTCTTCTCGTTATTTAAGATGATGCTTCTTTCTTCTAATAAGCCTGATCATATTACATTAGTTAATATGCTTGGGGCATCTGGAAAAGTAGCCTCTTTGGAAATCGGAGACCAGGTTTGTTGCTATGCCATGAAAAATGGGCTAAGTGAAGATATTTATGTCATCAATGCTTTAATTGACATGTATGTGAAATGTGGACATATGACAAGCGCTAAGAAGCTCTTTGATAGTATGAACAACCCTGATGCGGTTTCATGGAGTAGTTTAATAGTGGGGTATGCTCAGTTTGGATACGGAGAAGAGGCTCTAGACCTATTCCAGAAGATGAGATATTTAGCTGTCAAGCCAAACCAAGTTACCTTTGTCGGGGTTTTGACTGCTTGTAGTCATGTTGGACGAGTAAAAGAAGGGTGGCAGTTGTTCAGAGCCATGGAAACGGAGTTTGGTATTATACCAACTAGAGAGCATTGTTGCTGTGTGGTTGACATGCTTGCCCGAGCTGGCTGCATAGAAGAAGCAGAAGCTTTTATCAATCAAATGGAAATAGATCCTGATATTGTGGTGTGGAAGACTTTGTTAGCTGCTTGTAAGACACGTAACAATCTTGATGTTGGCAAACGAGCCGCAGAGAAAATTTTGGAGATTGATCCCTCAAATTCTGCTGCACATGTGTTACTCTGTAACATTTTTGCTTCTACAGGCAGTTGGAAAGATGTTGCATCACTGAGGGGTCAGATGAGACAAAAAGGCGTCAAAAAGGTTCCAGGTCAAAGTTGGATCGAAGTCAAGGACCGGATCCATGTCTTCTTGGCTGAGGACTGTATGCATGCAGAAAGGGACAGCATATACTCCATGCTAGATGAACTATGGCTGCAGATGCTGGATGATGATTATTTGCCCCTCCAGAGTTAAGTTTTAGAGGTAAAACATTTGGACAGGATGACTATTGGATATACGCTTCTTGCAGTGTCCACATTGTGGAGTTGCACCTTTACATAATCAGATTTTACTTATGTAGGTCCTTGAGTTGGTTTTCTAGAAATTACGAGGTCTGGAAAGTGAAAACAAAAATTTGCCAAATAGCTATCCAGAGACATGCTTGACTAGAGAGACACTGAAGCAGCAGATATTCTTGTACAAATGGTCAAAGCAGTTTGCTGTTTTCCAAAGAACAAGTTGTCGTTTCATATAGAGATGTATTTCATATTTCCGATTAACTGAAGATTGCTGCCAAATAAAAAAAGATATGAAGATAGCATCAGGGAAAAGAAGTTAGAATTGCAATCAAAATTTGGAACTCAAATTTCAGGATGGCTCTACTGTTTTTAAGGAGTGAATGAGGAAGATATTTACTGTTTTGATGTGTAGACACACAAGAAACAGCATCTCGCTCTTGTAAACCCCCAGTATCACTTTTCAGTCATACATCTTTGTTATGTTCAATTTGCACACCTGAAGAATAATAGCCTGGTGATTGAGAGGTATTATTACAGCACCTGAAAGTTCACAGAGTGTGAGATTGTGTCCTCGAGACTTCAGTATTCTTGAGAGGATCACTTCAGGATATGGTAAGTGGAGTTCTGAGAGTGTTCTCATCAAGAATAACATTGAGAAGGGTCTTTCACTGAATGAAAGGCACAGCAAAATCTAGTAGTGGGTAGGCAACTCCATACCAGTAAATGGTCACCTTGTGGAGGAAGAAGCACTGCCTGAGGCAGCCTTCATGCAAAAGTCTTGTGAAATTTTTTGTTCTTTGCTTTACTGGCTTAATGGAAGG